CCCCCCCCCCCCCCCCCCCCCCTCCCGCGAGTTGCTGTTGGGGCGCCGCCGGCCTCACGAGGGCATCACTGCCTTGTAGGCCGCAAGCCGCGTCCCCACTCTCCGCCTCGTGGCCAACGCGATGGAGCCGCTCCTCACGCTGCGGCCGCAGCACGAGTGGCACGTGCACGTCTCGCACATCTGGTCGTCCGGCCAGGACCAGGCACCATATCTCCCCATATCTCCCCATATCTCCTCATATCTGGTCCGGCCAGGCGAGTGGTAGCATCGCCGACTGCGGCGGCCTTGCGGGCATGGGACGCGTCCACGACACGCCCACGGCACACCCACGACACGCCCACGACACGCCCACGACACGCCCGCGGCACGCCCTCGGCACGTCCGCCGCAGGCGGCCAACATCAAGCGCAACCTGCAGCTGATGCTGCCGGGCTGCCTGGTCCGTCTCCCCCTCGACGAGCTGCTCGCCTGGCCGCCTCCTCGAGCCTTCTCGGAGCCTCCCCGTAGGTCTTCCTCGACGTCGACGACCTGCGCGACGCGACGCGGCTCGAGGACTACGTCGACCAGAGTGCGGCGCTGCTCCTCTTCCTCTCGCGCGGCTTCTTCAAGTCGCGCAACTGCCTGCGCGAGGTCCGGCGCGCGGCAGCGACCAGCAAGCCTCTCATCCTCGTCCACGAGGAGAACCTCAACAAGGGCGCGCCTCTTCCCCCCCCCCCCTCCCCCTCCCCCCAAATGACTCTCTCAACCCCGACGGCCTCGAGCGGCGTCTCACCGCGCCTTCGTCCCTCCCCGCCGCAGGCGGCCTGCCCCTCGAGGCGTCTGTGCAAGAGTGCCCCGTCGAGCTGCGTGGCTACGTCTTTGGCGCTGCCGCTGGCGGTGCAGGAGAGGACGCGCCCGCGACGAGCCCGCCTCGGACGCCAATCACGTGGCACCGGTACACCGACTTCCAGCGCCTCTCCCTCAAGCTCATCGCAGAGCAGATCTTGCTCGCCTCGCCAGAGTTCTGTGAGCTGCCTTCCGTGCCGCTCTACCTGCCGGGCGAGATATAGCCGAGAGTAGCCGAGAGTGGCCGCTCTACCTGCCGGGCGAGCTCACCGACGCGCGAACCTGCCTCCCCTCCTCTTCACGCCCGCCCCCCCCCCCAACACACACACACACACACACACACACACACACACACACACACACACACACACACACACACACACACACACACACACACACACACACACGCACGCACGCACGCACGCACGCACGCACGCACGCACGCACGCACGCACGCACGCACGCACGCACGCACGCACGCACGCACGCACGCACGCACGCACGCACGCACGCACGCACGCACGCACGCACGCACGCACGCACGCACGCACGCACGCACGCACGCACGCACGCACGCACGCACGCACGCACGCACGCACGCACGCACGCACGCACGCACGCACGCACGCACGCACGCACGCACGCACGCACGCACACACATACCTCTTGCCCACAGGTGAGCTCTCCATCGACACCCTCCGCTTCGCGCGCCCGGTCACGCTGCACACCAGCGCGCACAACCCGGGCGCGAGGGAGTTTGTCGACGCGCTCGCGGGCAGCATCGAGGGCGTCGTCGCGGCGGACGCGCCTCCGCTCGGGCGGGGGCGGTCCCGCGGCGCCCTTGCGCGGCAGCTCTCGCGGCGGCGGAGCTTCCCCACCGCAGGGGCGAGCGTGCCGCCGCACCCGCCGGCTCCTCCGCCCGGTCCAGGCAGCTGCACCGGGGACACCCTCTTTGCACCGTCTCGGAGCCTGCCTGCAGGCGCCGTCGCTCGGCCGGCAGCTGTCGCGCGCCCTCACGAGGGAGGGCCTCTCGCAGAGCGTGTTTGTGCTCTACCTCAACAGCGCCACCTTTGTGGGCGACGCCGGCCTCGCCCTCGCCGCCGAGGCGTGCGGCAGAACAGTCGCAGACACACACACAGACACTACACCTGTACCTGTACCTGTGGCTCTCACACGCCGCATGCCTCAAGAGCAGGCACATCTATGGCTCTCACACACCACATGCCTGGCCTGACTCCTCCTCCACCTGCCGCTAGGTGCGCACGTGGCGCGCGGGCAAGGTGCAGCTCCTGCTGGTGCACGAGAGCGACCCGGCGCACGGAGGCTGCGACTTTGAGAACTTCTATGCCACCACACCGGAGGTCTGCGGCGCTGCCTGCCAGACTCCACACCGCTGCCCACTGCCCCTTCTGTGTGGCCTCGCCGTCGCCTCTTGTCTCTCCTTCTCTCGTCTCCGCCCCCGCCCTCACCCGGCAGCTCTCGCGGCCGCAGGACCTCGTCGCTGGAGGCCTCTACTCCGCACCGGCCGTCGAGCTCTACCCGCCGCCGCACCGCGACGTCTCCCTCGCGCTCGTGGCCAAGACGCTCGGCGCCGTGCGGCGCACCCTCGCCGCGCGCCTCTCTCTCGACCGCCTCTCCGCCCTCTCGACGGTCGAGACGGCGCGCTCCTCCGTGGCGCGGCTGTCCCTGGCGGGCCGACATGCGGAGAAGGGGCGCGCCCGTCGCGCGGCCAGGCCCCTCGCGCGCGTGTCGGTGCGAGGCGTCGGCAACGCGCGCTCGTCGGCGGGCGACTGGGAGCCACGCGGCGGCGCCCCGCGGCTCGGCCGCTCGGACAGCAGCCTCTCCTGGTGGGGCGAGAGCGACACGGAGAGCGGGCGGCGAAGCGAGGGCGGGGCAGAGAGCCGCGTGTGACGCGCCGGGTCGCCGGCACATGGACACGGCAGCGAGGCTTTCGACTTCGCCTGTGCTGCCAGCAGCCAGGGCGTGCGGAAAGTAACCGCTGCAATGGAATTCCATTTTGACGCCAGTACGTACATGCTGTACAGTTCAGGTCTTGTGTGTTGTCTTTGCATGTGTGTGGGGGCACCCCGCCTGCGCGCCCTGGGGCCGCCCGTGTCGCAAATCCGTACAGAGTACAGTTGAGCATGAGCATGAATCGTGAATGAGAATGGTGTGCATGTGTTTTTGTGAGGTGTGGTATAAGCGCAGTTCCAGTTGGCGTATCGCTATCGGATGGGCACAGCTGCTTTCTGCCCCGCTGGCGTGAGGTACCACTCCAAATGCTCCAAGATCTGGCTCCAAAAGAACGAATCCGGATGATCTAGGTGGAGCGTACTCCCGCGTCGAACCCCCGTCACGCCACAGCCGTGTGGCGCCCCCCTCTCCGCGCCGCTGTTGCAGCAGGCCCACGCTGCACCGCGGGCGATCTCGCCGCTCGCCCGGCGGCCGCGTCCCTGACACGGGCCAGCGACCGCCGCAGGTACTCGCGGAAGCGCTCGTTCCGTGTCGCGTCGCAGGTGAACGCGTCGCGCATCTGGCGCACGCCGCGCTGCAGGGCGGCCAGCCGGGAGGCGCGCGGCAGCAGCAGGCCTGCGTCGTGATCACACCGGCGTCAGAGTGCGGTGTCAGTTTGCAGTGTAGCTGGAGCATCTCGCGAAATGAAAGGAACGGGCTACGAATCCAGTGGATCCAGGGGATCTGTCCTCCAGAGCAGCACGCCTCCAGAGGAGCGGTTGTACTCGATCCGAGCGGAGAAGGACCTCCACGAGCCGAGCGGCGGCGGCACAAACTTGGAGCTGAGCAGCGGGACGCTGCCGGCGCGAAGCGCGTCGTAGACGCGCTTTGACTCGGGCGTGTCGCCCACCGGACAGAGCGCGAACCTAAGGCAGGAAAGGTACTGTAGACCACAAATGTCGCGACTCCACGTCCAAAGATGCGAGCCCCACGGCATTCAAAAGTGCAAGGCCCAGTGCGCGTGGGTGCGAGCGAACCTGCACGGGCGTGGCATGGACTCCCGAGTGCGGTCATGGCGTGGACGCGTCTCGCCAAACGGGACAGAGCGCACTCTGCGCGCGAGTACAGCGCCTGCAGCTCGTTCTTGATGACTCAAGAATGATGAATCATAATTAGAATTAAGGAGCGAGTGCAGCGCCTGCAGCTCCGCGTCGGAGATGGTCTGCCGGCCCTGCAGCGTGTGGAGCGAGGCGCCTAGCCAAGCCTCTGATATGTCAACCTCCTCCTCGGGCGGGGGCCCCCTCTTCTAACCCTCTCCAGTGCATGGCGCTTGACTGATTCATCTGTGTCTTCGCCTGCGGTGCGGCGCAACGCGCGGATCGCCCGTGCGCGCGGGTGCTCCTTCTTCTCGCCAAAGGCTCGCTCGAAGGTGGCCCCCACAAACAGGACCCTGAGAGGCCGATGTGAGGACGCCTGCGGTGTGAATGAAACGTGGGGGTTCGCACTGCTTGGTGTGCGGAAAGGGAGAGAAGAGTCTCGTGCGAGCACCGCTTCTTGCTGCTCCGGCTGGCAGTACCAGAGGTGGACGGCGCGGGAGTGGTCGACGGGCCCGAGCGCCTCGGCGCAAAAGTGGGCGAACCGCCGCGAGCCTTTCGGGTGAGGTGGCTCAAACCATTGAGATGCCGGGCCGCGCGACTCTCGCGGCTGGGCGTCAAGGGCTTCGAGGTCAGAGGCTGATGGTGGATAGGATGCGGATTTGACATCTGTGCACCCTCGCCCCACAGGAGAGGGAAGGTCTTGCGCATGTGCGACGTGAGGCCGTCCTGCCCGCTCTGCAGCGCGCAGCGCAGTCCGTTGAGCAGGTGCGGCCTGTGTTGATAGGTTGCAATCTCCGCGAGGACGCGGCGCTGCACAGCCGTCGCCTGCGCGGCGACGGCGCCGGAGCTCTTCCAGTTCGGAAGCCTCGTCTCGAAGTAGACGTTGATGAGGCACGCCGGGTGGTAGAAGACGGTGGCCCGCTGTGGGTCAGTCGTCACGAGCCCTGCTGCGCGGAGAGCGGCCGAGAGGAAGAGAAAGTAGTTGAGGCCGCCGGCCGAGGCACGGCCTGGGCTGCACGAGCCGGACGTGTCGTTGTAGATGAATAGCATCGCGGAATCGACGATGGCGTGCCGGCCGTGGGCCCGGACGAAGGTCCTGGCTCGAAAACGCGAGCAGAGGCTGCCGTGTGGGCGCACGGCGAGCCTCGCGGGAAGTCAGCGGCGTGCTACCTAGGGATCCGACCCTGGTAGGTGGATTGTCCAAAATACGTCAGCCTCGCACGCCTAGAGCTAGGTCTGACACCCGACCGCCCCCCCCCTCCCTAATATTAACCGGCGAGAGCACATTTTGGCCGGCTAATGTTAGGGAGGGGAGGCCGAAAAACGCATACTTTTGTCCACGTACCAGGGTTAATCAGCTGGACCGAATTTTACCAAGTAGGACGCCGTTGGACGTATCCAGTGTTCACCGTCTACGTGTAGCGACGGGCGCTGCGCGATAGCTGCTTTGTGGGTCCCGTGAGCCAAGTCAGCGTCGGGCTGCGCAGCCGGTCGCCATATGTTCGCTCGCCGTGGTCACAAGCCATCGAGGAAGCCACCACACCAGGGCCACAATCGCGTTGCGGACCAGGTTTGTGACCCTGGCGGTGGCGAGCCTTTGGCGCACAGCGTGAGCATGCCAGCACGGCTCGCATCAGGGCTGCACCCGTCGCCGAGCACCTCGTGCACTCCACACGGATCGGGTGATGCCACGAGCCCGCTGCGCGGCTGCACCGAGTGGCTCTCTGTGGCAGTACCGTGCCGGCCAAAGCTTGTTGATTGCAACGAGCTTGGCCTTTCTGAAGGACGAGTTGGCCGGCAAGGGCGCGGGGGGTGACGCCACGGCGGCGCACGGCCGCACGCGATCGATGAAGTGCGCCGCGTCGAAAAGCTCGTCAAAAGCAAACGGCCGCCGCGTGTGCTGGCCTCGGAGCTTGAAGAAGCGCCACCCGGAGGTGAATTTCGGCAGCACAAAGACAGAGTCGCTGCGGCAGGCGTCGTCGAGCATCTGGGCGATGCACATCAGCGCGTTGTTGAGACCGGCGCCGAGCTCGTCGTCGACGGCGATGCTGAGGTAGCGCATATATGCACTGCACACACACACGCACACACATAAGAGGACCGGACGTCCATCCACTGGGATGAGAATACTGGAGATCTGAGGTCGAATATGCCGATTCCACAGCCGGCTCCACATGTGTACATTATGTGGACCCGCCACAAACGACCGCGTAAAACTGTCGAGCTCCGACGAGTGTTTTACCGTTCCGGCATCCGCCCGTCGCATCGCCGAGCCGGGCCACACACGTGCGTCCCCGAGGCGCCCGCGATACGCTCTCCTTTGTGTTTTCCCACCTTCCTTCTCGTCTGAAGGTAAAGGTACTACACTGGTCAAACTATTAGCTTCATAATGAGGAAGGTGCTCATAGCGATTTCAAATAGTGCTACTATTAGCTCAGAGGGGCTAATAGTGCAATTATTAGGTGTGCTAATAGCCGATGTCCTAATAATGGACCCTCATAATGCGCACTTAGCGATTTCGCGATTCATGCCGCATGCTTCACGGCGCGCCCCGGCCTAATAGCTGGGCCTCATAGCGACATGCCGGCCACGGAGCTCGTCGCGCCCATGCCGCCATCGGCGCCCGCTGACCATCTGGCGTGCAGCGAGAAACCCTCTGCGAGCTGGCGCCAGCGTGGTGGTTTGGCGGCGTGCGGCGCAGCGCTGGTCTTCTTGGCGTCCATCCACGGTGATCGCGGATCCGGCGAGAAGCCTTGCGCTGCCATCGGTCAAGGCGCAGCTGGACGAGACGATGCGAGAGGAAGGCCGGCGGCTTTTCGAAGCGCAGCACGACCTGCGGCGCCCGGCGCGCTGATGCCGACCACTGCAGGGTTTGTTGTCGACGAGGACTCACGCTGGTGTTTTTCTTGTTTGACTTGGCGATTTGAGAGTCGCGCACAGCACGCTGGCCAGTGTGCCCTCGCTCGCTCCCCGCTCGCCTCGGTGACCTGTCGCCCACCAGCGCGCGGCGACCGCGCGCACACCACCAGCGCGCGGCGACCGCGCACACCGCGCCCGCCGGCTCTCCGCCCTCCTCACCACCCGTCGGCGCTGTCCGCAGGCATGTGAGGCGGAACGGCGACCGCACAGCGCGCGCGGGTGTGGAGAACGTGATCAACCGCCGGGCTTCGGCCCCTCGCCGGCGCAGCGCCGGCGAGGTCCTGGGTCATCCCCGGGCGGCGGTCCGGGCGGCAGCAGATCTCTGCGCCGCCCGCATCCTGTTCGTGATCAGGGCGTGCGCAGTTTGAAATTGCAAGGTCCGAGCGCGCCCGCGCCCGCGCCCGCCGCGCCCCGCACGCAGCCACATCCTGCGTTCTGCGGCGGCAGCGGCCTTATCTCTCTCTCTCCCTGCTCTCCCAAGCCGTGCGCACCGTCGCCGCGCGCGCGCGCCGCCGCGAGCTGCCGGGCTGACGCTCGTCCCCGTGCCCCTGTTGCGCAGGCAACACCCGCGCTCGTGCGGACCGGACGACCAGCTTCCTGCTCGCGCCGCCCTCGCTGTGGCCCGGCGTCTCCGCCGGCGGCTGGTGCGTCAAGGTGATGAAGAGCACCACCAAGCCTGACGTCACCACGGTCAAGTTCAACGACTCCACGGTGACCTTCTCGTTCGCCGTGGTTGCCTCATGGAAGCCCGTCTCCTAGAGAGTCGGCGCCATCGCTCTTGCCGCGCCGCGCGTAGTGCGCGTCGCGCGGGTACCGCACTATTAGGGCACTATTAGGGCCACTATTAGGCTCTCATAGTGCCCTAATAGCGCCCTAATAGTCGCTATTAGCCCATCTCATAGTGGTGTTCTAATAGCTCCAGACGTTATGAAGCTCAGCTATTAGCCCCTCTGAGCTAATAGTAGCACTATTTGAAATCGCTATGAGCACCTTCCTCATTAAAGCCGTATGAAGCTAATAGTTTGACCAGTGTAAGCTTTATGAAAATACGACGCGCTTGCTGAATTCTATCCGCTCTTGTAAAATTCTATCTCTAGCGCGAGCACGAGCCACGAGGTGCTTGAGCATCGATATTCTCTGCTTCGTCGAAAAATCAAAGAATGACGCGGCCAGACAGAATAGAGCAGCGGTATCGATTGACAGTCAGAACATGCCATGAGAAGAAGACAGAGTGCGACTACTGACGTACGAACGTACGAACGTACCGGGATGCGGAAAAAAAAATGTCGCAGGAGGGCGCTCCCTGTACACGGCGCGCTGCGCTGTCACACACTGCTATAACTGGTGCCAAGCGGCGAACGATCGCAGGGCGCGGGGCGCTGCCCCTCACTCATCCGCCCGGACCTTCTCGAGCTCCGCGTCGCGTGCCGCCACCGCCCCCTTGAGCTCCGCCACCTGGTCGAGCGCGTCGCCGAGCAGCCCCTTGGCCACGCCAAAGTCGCGCAGCTGCTCCACGCCGCCGCTCGCCCGCACCTCGGCGGCGTGGTCGGCCACGTAGCGGCGGCACTGCGCGAGGAGCCGCCCGTCGCCCATCGTGTGCGCCGCCTCGAGCAGCGGCACGGCGGTCGCCGGCGCGACGCTCTCCTGCAGCGCCTGCGCGCAGAGCAGCTCGAGGCGCGGCACCTGGTACATCTGCGCCAGCTCCCGCAGGTCGAGCGCGCGCTGCGCCCTGCCGCCCTCCTCCTCGCCGAGGTCGAACTTGTCGGAGAGGAGGTAGTCGATGAGGGCGGTGAAGCTGGCGAGGTCGGTGTGGGACACCGTGACCTCGGCGGCGTCGCGCTCCTTCATGCCGATGCCGAACATGGTCCGAAAGACCGGGGACCGGGCGCAGAGGACGCACTTGCTCACGTGCTCGATGCGCTCCTCGTCGTCGCCGACCAGAAAGGTGACCATGCCCTGCGGGAGGATGGCGTCGCCCCGCGTCTTTGCGAGGTCAGCCAGGATGGTGGAGGGCGGAACGACGATCGGGGCAAAGGAGGGAGGCGGAGGAGGCGCCGCCACGCAGACCTGATGGAGGCCAACTCTCGAACTGACCAACAGCGTGCTGCCATCGGCGCTGATGGCGACTTCTTCTGGGCCGTCGAACTGCGCTGCGTCGCCCACGCCGTCAGCGCTGCCCTCTGTGCCGCTGCCCGCGATCGTCGTCACCTCTCCCGTCGCCACCTCCACCCGCCGGATCTTGTGGTTGCTGTAGTCCGCCACAAACAGCGCGCCGCCATCTGGGCTGATGGCGAAGCCAGCTGGGCAGCAGAACTGCGCCGCGTCGCCCACGCCGTCCGCGTCGCCACCCTCGACGCTGCCCGCGAGCGTGGTCACCTCTCCCGCGTCGCCACCTCCACCCGCCGCATCTTGTAGTTGTTGAAGTCCGTCACAAACAGCGCGCTGCCATCTGGGCTGATGGCGATGCCATGTGGGTCGCAGAACTGCGCCGCGTCGCCCACGCCGTCCGCGTCGCCACCCTCGCCGCTGCCCGCGATAGTCGTCACCGCGCCAGTCGCCACCTCCACCCGCCGGATCTTCTGGTTGCCTTGGTCTGCCGCGATTGATGAGGACGCTCTGCTTTTGCGTATGGCCGCCGTCCAACCACCTGCTTGCCTCGCGGATCTCAATGACGATCTGTTGAGGATGATCGTCAGTCGGCCGAGTCTGAACTAGCTTCCGCGGTCGCGCTCAAACGATGCAGCAGCCGCTTCAAGGACCTCGCCGCCCCGCTGGTGGCAAACGCTGTGTCGGTTACAAATGAGAAGTGGCGGGATGCAGCATCCAAAATCGGCGGCCGAGTCGGAGCTAAGATAACAGGCGCCCTCGAGCGCAATGAGGTGCGGACCTCCCCTTGGGTGTGCCGATGAGCAACAAGATCGGCTCCACCGGCGCCACCGCGATTGCCGACGCCCTCAAGGGCACCGCGGTGCTCACCGACTATCTTGAACCCCTCGGATGCTCGACGTCTCGAGGTCGAGCGGGAGTTAGTTGCCGGCGAAGTCGTAAGTGCGTAAAGTGTGCCCACAGGTGCGCAGTCCCGCACAGAGCGCAGTGGCCAGCGGCCAGCGCGTCGGCCGTCGCGCGTGTCGCGACGAGCACGAGGCGGTGGCTTTTCCTTTTGAATATTGCTTATTGGAGAATCACACTACGGTCCACATAGATTTACACGGCGCTGCGAGTCCTCGCCACAAAGTGCTAGCAGTGTCCGCAGCTGAGCATGCTGCGCTTGAGAGGTCCAGCGCGCCGCTTCGGGGCCGGCCCGCCCTCCCCTGCGCGGGGTACCTTTTCATGGCGAATACTCCTGCTAGGGGGATCTTTGCCCAATGGTGGGTGCTGGCCTTGGGCTCCATGGCATAGTGGTCGCTCCCTGCCATTTCTGTGGCGTGGGTCTCCCTCCGCGAGGAGGTCGCAGCGGTCATGGATATCTCCGG